TGTAAACTGTTTTTCATATTCATACACTTTTTTCTATAATGTGTTTCTTATCTCTTTGCAAAATATAATAATATATTTCTTATCTCTTTTAAATGTATTTAGTATTTTTTTAAGACATTAAATTTGGTTATTTTGATTTAAATTTGATAAAACATGAAATTACATTATTTTTTTCATATGTGTGAGTTATGTTTATAGACAGCTTATGGAATTACATTTTATAGTATATGGAGTTACATCTCTTCTTATGAGCGAGTTACATCTGTTGGAAAAATGTGTTAAAATTACATTAAATGGTGATTTTGAGGCAATTATTTGAGTGGAGTCCACTTCCGAACAGAAGACCATGAGGTCTTCTGGTTGCTTCGGACAGAACACCTCAGGGCTCTTCTGGTGGCCTCCGGACAGAAGACCTCGGGGCTCTTCTGGTGGGTTCCTAACAGAAGACCATGCACTTCTTCTAGTCACGCAAAAACCGCGACTCGTGTGCGCAGGCGACCTGCGGACACGAATGCCTTCCGAAAAATCTATCATTCAAATATACGATGTAATTTTTGTTTCTTCCCGTAATGTTCCTTATTTTTTCCAGACTGGCAGAACTGCTCAGAACTGGAAGACCGTGACCGTGGGGGTTTTCTGTTGGCTTCGGAACAGAAGACCATGAGGTCTTCTAGTTGCCTCCGGACAGAACACCTCGGGGCTCTTCTGGTGGCCTCCGGACAAAACACATCAGGGCTCTTCTGGTGGCCTCCGGACAAAAGACCTCGGGGCTCTTCTGGTGGGTTCCGAACAGAAGACCATGCACTTCTTCTGGTCACGCACCTGAGCGGTTACAGTCATAAATGTCCAACGTTCTTATGCTTTAATGTTTCTTTAAATGGACAGTTTTTCAACATATTAATGCCCAACGTGCTGGACATTTATGTGCAACGTTCAGGTCCATTAAAGCTCGGTTAACACACCACAAATCCTCCTATAAATAGCTGGCAGGTGGTTTGCAACAAATCACAACGCACAATACATTCCTCACGAATTTCTTAAGCTAAAAATACCTCCAGCTGCTCCAAAAAATTTCCTAAGTGTTCTAACTTATTCACGTTCACCGGAACTTTCGTTTGTGTGCTCAAACGCTAGTTCGTTAGCCACCGTATCCTGAGAAAAGGTCGTTGCAACTCTCCTAGCACCGTGGGAAGCGACGAATACGTTTTAAGGACATCGTGCGTAGCACGAGCTTCTTCTAATCTATGTCCCATCTTTTTTCTATTTTCTTTAGGTTATTTTATTTATTAATTAATTTTATTTAATTAATATTTCTACGTTTTTTCGAGACACACCCAACAACATCTTCTTGTGCATGAGTTACATATTCCTATGTGTGAGTTATATTTGAACTTGCCTCAACAAGTTACATTTTGCATGAACATAAGTTAGATTTTCATCAACGTGATTTACATTTTTCTTAACAGGAGTTACATCAAAAAATAAACTCCCGCTATTGAAACAAAAAAAAAAACTATTTTTTTGCAAAAAATCATTTTTTTGAAAAAAAATGACTTGTTGAAGAAAAAAATGATTGTATTGGCGTCGTTTTTATGGCCTTAATACTAAAAACAAAACATATTAACTATTTACATAAATTAATTTGAGAAAATAGACTCCTTTTTTTCATTGTTTACATTTGATAGTATATGAAATTACATCTTTTGATTCGCGAGTTACATCGTTTTTATACGTGAGTTACATCTTCATAAACGCGAGTTACGTTTAGATTTGCTTTAACGAGTTACATTTTGTATACATCTCAGTTAGAGTTTTCATCAACGCGAGTTACACTTTGCATAACACGAGTTACATCACAACATAAAGTCATGCTATTGAAATAAAAGAATCATTTTTTTTGCAAAAAAAAATATTATTTGGCAAAGAAATGATTTATTTGGCAAAACAAGTGATTTAAAAAAAAACATTTTTATGACCATAATATCAAGAATAGAACAAATTCACTATTTAAGGAAGTCGCTGCTAGTGAAACAAAAAAATCACTTTTTTGCCAAAAAAAATGTTTTTTTTTGCAAAAAAAAACTTAAAGACAAACCACATTATTTATGGCCTTAATGTAAAAAACATATTCACTAGTTGTGTAAAGTAATTGAGCAATTAAACTCCTTGTTTTCTTTGAAATCAATGTTTTATTTCTTGTAATACTTATTAGACAAGTTAAATTTTCACTTATCTGTAGTTACATTTGTTATCAGTGTGAGTTACATTTCTTTACACATGAGTAACATCATTCATGCTACTGGGACAAAACGAAAAAAAAGTAACTGTACACGCGTCTATTGTTCATGTGTCTACTGTTCACGTGAATTTTTTAAAAAAATTAGTGCAAAGCTACGTCGTTTTGGGAGTGGAGCATGGTACTCAACGTGAGATCATCCTACGGTATACGAACTGCATCTGATGGCCGCCACCTAATGGGAAAATGGGATGGATAATTAATGAAGCTTTAGTTTTCAATTTGCGATAGTTAAGTTTCATGTTCTCTTGGTTAGCAATTATAAACGGAAAATGTTTAAGGTTTAATCTTATTAATCTTCTCTCTCACATTTTAGTCTTAAAAGTATGTTTGGCATAACTAGCTGAAAAGATACATTTGTGAGCTTTTTAATAACTGTTAGCGTTTAGTGACTGAAAAGATCTTAAAGAGAAAAGGTGGTAGCTGTTTGGTAAAAAGCTAACTGTTTGATTTAGTTCGGTTTGGTATACAAGCTGTTAGGACTAATTAATACTAAAAGTCACGGGCTTTTTTCAGATGTTACTCCCTGTAGGATCTCAAAAAAGATCTTTTAATTTTTGAAAAACTCTTAAAAATTGTCATGTCAAACATATAACTAGAAGCTTTAACAGACTTTTTGAACGATACAAAAGCTAGAAGGTAGAGACTTATGTCTGCCAAACATAGCCTTATACACCACTCATTAGTCAATAATCATTAGCCTCACGGTACAGTTATAGTTTTTGTAAATAAAAACAAATAATAATAAGGATTTCTCTTTACTATTAATATTAGGGGAAAATAATCAAAATAACGCATACTTTAAAGGAATGTGTAATGAACACCGCAAACTTGCATATGTAATTTAAATACCTCAAATTTTATATAAAAAGATATTTAAGCACCGTAGTCAAGTGTTATTTTTTCAAAAATGTAAATTTATTGTGCTAATTGCATAATATAAAATATTTCAGAATTCATAAAAACACAATTAACATCCTAAACTTTCATTGTGAATTATGTTGAAATTTTATCAATCCGGCCAGGACCTTAAAATAGACAACTTATCAATTGAGGACCTGAAAGATGAAATATATCAATATAGGACCTGAATGATGGAAATTATCAATTTAGGACCTGAATGATTGAAAACTATCAATATAGGACCTAAGTTGTCATGAATTTTATTATTTTTTTATTTCAAAAATTTTAAAAATCATTTAGATTTATTAAGCTAATAATTTTTTGTGAAGAAAATTTTATCAAAAATTAACAATGGAGTTAATAAAAAATAAAATATATAAAAACCAATGAAATGTTAGGTCTTAAATTGATAGTTTTCCATCATTCGAGTCCTATATCGATACAATTTATTATTGAGGTCCCGAATTGGTAATTTATCTATCTTCCAAGTCCTGAATTGATAAAATTCCTAAATTATGTTACCTCAATCTATATAATTACAACACTTTTAATTTACTATTTCAAATTATGCAATTAGCCCCATAAATTATGCAAATAATGCAAAAGTAACTTTTTATATAAAGTTTGGGGTATTTAAATTACATATGTAAGTTTAGGGTGCTTACCACATACCCTTCAAAGTTTGGGGTGTTTATATAATAGCTATTATTATAGTATCATCATGGGCGGAGATAGGGGTGCCCAACCTAGGCCTTGACCCACCCCAAATTTAAAAAATGACTTAATTTTTAGTGTAAAAATTTTTGTTTAATTTTTTTTCCAAAAATATTCTTTGTACTGGCCCAGTCCGATCCGGTGCCCTGGCTCCGCCCATGTTAATCATTATCACTTTTTAAATATTGAATATAAGTTAGTATCACTAAAGTTACTATCACCCTACCACAATCACAACACTTAAGATATCACATTTTTGTAAAGAATCTTATTTTATTCATGTTACATTCTAGTTCAATTAATTCACATTTCTTCAAAAGTACACACACTAAAAAGAAATAGAAAGTGATATGGTAAGGATGTTTCTAATAGAATTGGTTTCACTTCTAGAGTATACCAAACCAAATCAGATTAACCACATTAGAAGAGATCAAACTAGATCAGACTTCGACAATTGTAATGTATAGGTGTAACACCCGAGGTAGTTACTCATGACCTCTAGTACTATTCTCACAAAGGAAATGCACCTCTATTGAGCTCTTGGCTGATGACTGAGCTTCCTTAAAAGGAAATGCACCTCTGTTGGTATGAGTAGTACTATTAATCCTGTTAAATTAATCTCGGGTATTACAATCACTCACACTTAGGATTGCAACAGACCTCTAGTACTGTCCTCACAAACCATCACGAGCCTTTACCGCACACTTTGTCTTCACTCGTGCGCGCCTTGAGATACTTCCTAGGGGGTCACTCATCCCGAGATTACTCCCGTGCAAACACGCTTAACTTTGGAGTTCTTGGGTGATGAGCTCCCTTAAAAGGAGATGCACCTTGTTGGTATGAATAGTACTATTAATCTATTTAAATTAAATCTCAAGTCTTACAATAGGTATCTACCAGATCAGATCTTAAAAGATAAGATCATTTTTAGAAAGATCAAACCAGCCTAAATCAAACTAATTAGTAAAATTAGAACAAAAATTTCACTACAATTGAAAACTTCAATTCCAATCACTAATCATGAATTGCCAAAATAGGCAATAATTTTATTTTAATCATAGCCCACAAATTAAAGATTTATCATGGAACGAAATTGAGATATCAATTAATAAGCAGATAATATGCACTAAATTGATACACGAAGAATTGGTATAGTACAAGAAAAGTGAGTTCGAAATTATTACAAACAATTAATAATGTGATATAGTAGGCATCCGGAAGCGGCAAAGTGGGCAGTAATGACTTTTGCGCAGCCATTGGATGATGCATTTGGCGTGACACCTATGCGAACAAGGCATCCCTAAAACTTCCTCTTCCTCCCTTTTCAGACAATCCAAACACACCGCACAACTCTCCTCTCCGCCGCCGCAGTCAACTACTTCGCCGAGATCCAACTTCTTCAACATCTCCTCCATTGACCACCCGCTCGCCGGTTTCATTCCATTTCCTCCGGTCTCTATCAACTGCGGCGCCGTATCCCGGATCATCGCTCTCTCTGATGACATGTGGTAGAACGTGAGATTGACAGTCACGCGCACCGCTTCGCACGCGCCAAGGTCGCTAACTTTCGTCTCTATCCAGGAAACCATGGGTTCGAATCCTCCCCACAGCCGCAGCCTGCCGCCGCAGCACTTGAGCAGCTCATTCCGAATGACGGCGCGGAGTTTGTCAGTTGTGCGGTCGTCGATGTCAACGTGGATGGAGGAAGTGACGACCTCGGAATCTTCAAGAAGTACGTCGATGGGCCGTTGTCGTGAACTTACGTCACCTTCTGTGAAAGCCACGTAATGATGTTCCACAGCGGTGGAACCAGACAATAATTTGAGGGGGTGCTCTTATATTTTTTTTTTTTAAAAACAATTTTTTATTAGGATAAAATAAAAACGAGTGAAAAATAATTATTAATACATATAGAGTGAGGTTCTAATAAAAAGATTTATTTCCGTGAAAAATGAGAACGGGCGCATTTTTTACTGTACACTAGTAGATATTTATTTTACACTTTTTCACAATGAGAGAAAATTTTGATTTATTTATCAAATTGTCACCGAGTTTTTGATAAAATATAGTGCATTGTTGACTGATTTTGACTCATCAGATCTCAAGTTAAATGCACAAGATTTATTCTCGATCAATTTTCATGATAAGAACTCTTTTTATTTGATCCGAAACATATATATATGTATATGTAGTGTGTTTCAAATAAAAATGCTATTATACTAAACAAAAGGTAAATACTTATATTAACTTAAAGTAGTTTTAGAATTATTCTTGACATTAATTGACAACATCCGTATATGTCATTATTAGAAGAAGAAATGATTAAAATTAATTTGAATTGAAGAAATGATAATTTAAAATAAAAGATATAGAAATTCAAAAGTGTGATTTAAACAACATTACATCCTAGAGTGATTTAATTGAACATAAATAATTACCATGGGCTAAAGTCTAAAGAAGCAATAATGAAGAAAGCAAAAAAATTTGTTGCTCATGAGAATTGAACCTGAGCCATTTAGATATGGCAAAGCTCTCTCAACCTTCACCCTACCATTAAACAAGCTTGACCCGCTAGAGATTAGGCGTAGCCTGGATTAATGTACGTAGTAATAGATATCACTACAATAAGTGTGGGATTTTATAATTCATGAGCCAGTGAATTAAATTTTTTCAAGAACACAAATAAGTATTTGGCCGGTCAGAGTCGAGACTTTTCTCTCATTCCAATTATTCAAGCAAGTCTCGAGGGGGCATTTGTGAACATATAAAAATTATTGGACCAATGTTCAATTCTATTGGGCAGCTCGTGATGGTTGTGGGGCCTTATAAAAATATTAATATGGATCCATTCGGATAAAATTTAATAATTGAATTAATTTGGGTCATAAAAAAATACCCAATTGATTTAATTATAAATTAAATCTTTAAAAGAATAGATCGATCCTATTAATTTCCCTATTTTGAGCCCATCATCAAATAATAGCCCAATAAATAAGAGACGTGATCCAATATATGAAGAGGAGGACGAATCTAGTTAAGAAATAGTCTATATGCATGAGAAATAGCTATGAACCTTGTTAAAAAGGTTGTCCAGATACATCGAACAAGTGCTGATTTTTCTAGCTATTAAATGCAAGCAAATAGAGCTCAAAGCTCATTTTATTTGGGGCCTTTAGCAGTTAGCATATGAATGAATTTCACAACTCTAAAAGTATATTTTCTCCCTCCCCACACCTATTTTATGTCGTCGATTCTTGATAAAATAAATCCAAAAGTTGAAGAACGTTCGAAGATCTGAAGAACGAAGCTCGAAGATTCGAAGATCTGAAGAACGATGCTTTGAAGATTTGAAGATATGAAGAATGAATCTTTGAAGATTTGAAGATTTGAAGATATTCATATAAATACTGAATCAAGAATCAATTGAAGATCAAACCATATATCTCGGGAGGCCCTTAAACAGAAGATCAAGCCATAAAACGGTCCTTTTGTTGAAGATCAAGTCACTTGAAAACCGGAGGCCCTTCAAGCTGAATTCTCAATTCAAGAAGACTTCAAGACTCGAAGAATGAAGATTCGAAGATCCCAAGAACGAAGATTCGAAGATCCGAAGAACGTTCGAATTTTTGAGGGATTAAAGATTTAATTTGAATTAATTTTTTTAATTATATTGCAAGTGAAGAAACAGATGATTCATATTTAGAGATTGTACCTAATATTCTCACATATTATTATTTGCGATCAATTTTAAATAATTACTTAAATTTTGTTTCACAAAACTCTTCTATTAATTTTACATTCCAACGTGAGCATCTATTTATATACATGTATAGAAGCTAAAGCTAATTTCTTGAGCCCTTGGCCCGTATACACACTAACCAGATATATACAATTATAATAAATAAATTAGCAAGGCCCACATGGGCCTAATATGAACAAGTCAATAGATACAATCATACAAGTTCTTATACTCCCTCCGTCCCTTATATCTTTCCTTTTTGGGACGTTCCAAAAAACTTTGCCACTTTTCCTTTTAATCAATTATTTTGTGATTTCTGTTATTTGTCTCTCCTCTGCACAAACCTCAACCACACAATTTTTACTTTATTATTCTCCGTGTTAGTCAACTTTGGCAAAGTTTTAAGGGACGAAGGTTGTATAAGAATGAGGACAAAGATATGATACATATACCCATTCGCGTTCCCATCACTACTAGAATTTTTGTTATTTGTTGCTGCCTATTTCCTGCGGTTATAGGAACATCTGCAGCAATATGTTAACATTTTCAACTATATGTTGCGGTTTTTGGATACCCGCAGCAAATAGGCTTTAATTTTTTTAAAGAATAACCTTTTGTTGAGGGCTTTGAGCAACCGCATCAAATAATCACCCAAAATCGGCACTTGTGGTTGCGGGTCATATTCAACCGCAGCAATAACCGATGATATCTCGCCCTAATTTTACATATACGGATACAATTTCTTTACAAGAGTAGGGGGGAAAGGAGCTCTGGCGACAAGGGAGAAACCCAGCATCACTGCCGGAGATTTGCTAGGCAAAACAACCAGAGGCCAGGAGAAGTCATCCTCCATATCCTTCGGTTCAATCAGCTTTCATTTCTCAGGTCGCAACAATGAGCCATCTGAACGAAAACTCACCTGTGAGATCTGCAATCGGAACTCAAATCAAACGAAGACGGAGCTCAACAGCGACAACAACATCACAATAGGAGCCCTTTCTGACCAGCGAAGGACCAGATCGACCTCAGATCAGCGCACTAGGGATTTTCCTATTTCGCAACCCAGATGCAATCTGCTACCAAGGGTTATCGCTGGAGACGACGACCAGAACCCGTCCCCTACTGCGACAGCTATTCCAGAAGTCATCGCAATCAGAGGAGACCCTCCCAACGGGTGGCAGCGAAGATTGAATAATGGTGATGGCAAACAGTCTCAGAGTGTATTAACTGTTCGACATAGGCAGAGAGCAGTTCCTAGAGTGACTGCGCAGGGTAATTTGGCTAAGCAAGACCCCGAGAACTTTAGGTAATTTGGCTAAGCAATTCCCTTTACCATAACATGTGTAACCTGGGATAGAATTGGAAAGCAAAAGTTGGAGGGGTCTTTCTTAATATGTGTGCCTAACTCAATGTTGCAGTTATTTCCCAATACAGGATAGTATTCTTTTTTATGAAAGTTTGAGGATATAGTAAGAATAATAGTTGAAATTTGAAAATCAGCTTATGGTTCCTAAACCCTAAACCCTAAACCATAAACCCTAAACTTTAAACCCTAAACCCTAAACCTTAAACCCTAAACCCTAAACCCTAAATCCTAAAGGGGCATGCCTAGTTTGGCATCTTAGCTCTCTCCTTTGCTTCTCTTTTTGATACCATTCAAACAATTCACCCAGTTGGGCGAATCGGGCATCACTCTCATCATTGTCCTCCTCATCGATATGAAAGTCACCCCCGTCATACGGGGTCTCCTCATGCCCCGCTTCGAGAACATAGGTTGCATCATATCCCTCGGTGTTGGTTTCATACACCGAGTCAACATGACCGTCGCTCACTGTTTGGGCTTGATGGCCCCCACGACTTCCACGACCTCCACGGCCTCCTCTTCCACCTCTTGAGCCCCGAGATGCGGCCCGGCTAGCCCCAATAGAAGCTACCAGTGTTTGCCCCCTCGGATTGTTCCTTGTCGGCATACGTCTACCTTCCATTTCTAAAAAGGAATTTGAACGAGTCATTAGACTCCAATCAATGTCAACTGACGGAAAACATTATAGACACGTATTGGCCCAAGTCACCGCCATACCAATTGTTAAGGGTACCATCTTAACAACTAGAGACCTTGCAACCTAGGTAACAATCGTTCCATAATGCCAAAATACAATGCTCGTGGTTTTCGGTAAAACTCTTTTCAGGAAATCTCTTGTGAGAGGTCGATTACATAGTTTAGAAACTGAGATGGCTCTAATACTATTTAATTATCACGCCCCAGACCACATCCAAGCACGTGTACAACCGTCGTGTGATCAAGTGACGTCACTCGCAAGTCAACCTCACTTAATCACACAAGGCGTTCATGAACATCGTTCATACCATACTCAGTAAGTAAACATACATAACAACATCACATCATAGATTGAATGAATAGCGAAAAATATTCATCGGTCAATCATAAGCCACATATGGCAAAACGTAAGCTCGCAGGCCAAAACAAAGCAATATTACAAAGTATCCATGAACATAGTTTATGATTTAAAACAGTAAAGGAAGCACGAACCACGTTTTCCTCTAGATTCCTTTCACCCGTGCAAAGGTGTAGACAACAAGCTCTAGCTTCAACCTGAAATGGTGGACCCCCCCCCCCCCCCCGAAGGGGTCAGTACAAGTACCGAGCGAGTAGCAAGCTAAATGTAGAGTAACTAACGTTTCAAGTATAAGACCCAAACATAGGGTGATACATATACTTATACATCTATACCCCAAGTTACAAAATACATATCGGTACTCATATACACTTGGAAATACCTGACCCGTAGGTCATTGTTTATTTGGGAAAATAATAGTAGTCAATGTCCTTGACTTAAAACCCCAACCCACTCATAGACCTATGAGTGTATAGGACTCCTCCTGTCCAAATCAAATAATCATAAGGATACCGCCCGATCCTGAATTACTAAACAGTAATCTATGAGTTTTGAGGATACCTCCCGATCCTTGAGTACTCCATCATATATAACCGAGTTTTGAGGATACCGCCCGATCCTTGGGTACTCCACCCGACATAACCGAGTTTTGAGGATACCTCCAGATCCTTGGGTACTCCACCCGACATAACCGAGTTTTGAGGATACCTCCCGATCCTTGGGTACTCCACCCGACATAACCGAGTTTTGAGGATATCTCCCGATCCTTGGGTACTCCACCCGACCTATGATCTACCACATATCATAC